CCAGAGCATGAGTCTGACAATGAACCTTGCTAAACATGAAGGCCAACGTTGGAGTCAGCTTCGTATTCGTAGCAACGTCTTGAAAGTTGTCGCACTGGCCTCTGTCAGACAGGGGCACAAGAGCTTCCATGTTTTCATTCAAAAAGACATTGTTGTCATCTAGAAGAAGGCGAGTTTCCTTGGAGAACCCATAGGTGCGCAAAGGTGTCGGTCTTGCTTGCTTCAGTAGCAAGTGGCACACTGAATGTCTTGTCTGACAGATCCATCCTGCAAGATCCAAGCAGTTAGGCACTGTGGCGGACAAACAGACGAGGTTGATGTGGGCTGGGAGCAAAATCATGGCTTCCTCCCAAGCAGAACCGCGCTCTTCATCCCCCAGGTAGTGGACCTCATCGAAGATCACAGTCCGTACGCAATCAAAGTCACGTTGACGGAAGAGCATTGCTCGCCTCAGTACAATGGAAACAGGGCAAGTCTCAAGATGGAAACACACCAGAGGAATTACGTATTATTTCCATGTATATATTTCCAATATACACTATACAGTTAACATCAACTCACCTACTGTAACAAAATTCGTCACATCCTCTGGTATCCGTCTTCTTCTCTGCCCTGTTGTCTAATTATTGTTTAAACATGTCTTTCCTATTTGGTCCTATTTGTCATATGCGTGTCACTAGGAGTTACTGCAATATTTAAATGCATATACGCTGGAGTCAATTACTTCGTAACTACTACAGTAGTTGTTGGACCACCGCCCGCAAATGGCCGTAACGTTTTTGTGGTTTTTTTGTCGTTTTGTACTGGTTTTTACAGCATTTTGTCTCTTTCTCGCTGTGCCTATGGTCCGTTTTTCAAGCTTGTTTTCTCCTTTTTGATGCTACGTTGTGAACTTTCTCCTTAGAACTTGAGACGCTTTTGATGCTACGTTGTGCACGTTTTTCCTAGAACTTCAGACGCTCTGGATGCTACGTTGTGAACTTTCTTCCTAGAATTTGAGACGCTTTTGATGCTACGTTGTGAACTTTCTTCCTAGAACTTGAGACGCTTTTGATGCTACGTTGTGATTGTGAACTTTCTTCCTGGAACTTCAGACGCTCTGGATGCTACGTTGTAAACTTTCTTCCTAGAACTTAAGACGCTCTGGATGCTACGTTGTGAACTTTCTTCCTAGAACTTCAGACGCATTAGGAAAAACAAACACCGAATCAAAGACCCAACGCTCGACAAATTAATTTTCCAATTTGTCTTTAGACAAAGCGTCTTACCATTGAAACCTCAAGGATTTATGTCTCAACTCCGCAGACTGCTGAAGTCGAATTGAGCGCCAATTGGAAAAGTGAAGGTGCGCACAGATTGTCCCCATTGGCCCTGCATACCGAACATGGTGTAAGAAAAAGAAGATGATGATGATGATGATGGTGATGATGCTGATGATGATGATGATGATGGTGATGATGATGCTGCTGATGATGATGATGATGCTGATGATGCTGATGATGATGATGTTGATGATGCTGCTGATGCTGCTGATGATGATGATGATGCTGATGATGCTGATGATGATGATGATGGTGATGATGGTGATGATGCACAAAAGATGAATGGAGTCCTTAGTTGCGGGCAAAACAAAATATAATATTTTGCTCGCAGTTACACTGGTTTCTATCATGACAATATTTTCCCCAATGGAACTACGCATGAAACATGTTAAATCAACGGCTGTCCCAAAAACGTATTGGAATTGCGTGATTCCAACAACATTGAATCATTGAAAATGCTATTTTACACCACGGCCGCCTATGAGCGGTGGACCTAGTTACTATTTAAATCTATTTAATGTCTCAACATGTCTCAACAATCGCTTTGAAAACAGAGCCCAAGGTCAACCAAATTGTAGCACTTCTGTGGTTGCCACCAAAATAGATGAAGCTGCGGCAATCGAGACATCTCCGGTGAGAAGGCCAAGTTGGTTCGGAAATTTCTGCTGGAAATCCAGTAACTTCTGATTGCTAAGGGCCTTGGTGGGCGAACAAAAGATGGCCGATCGATGCTCCAGCAGCGTCTGCATCATAGCTGCCTCCGCCACCGCAGTCTTTCCAGCGGATGTTGGCGCAGCGACAATGACCGACTCACCCTGCGCTGTGCAGTAGATGGCCCTCTGTTGAAATTCATCCAAGTCGTGCCGCAACACTGCGAGAACAGCATCAGAAATTGGGCAATCTGAATAAGCCTCTTTTGCTTCTGTTGTGCTTCCCTCTGGTCGAACTCTATGATGCACAAGCTCCTCCGTGTGCATCAGGGTATCCCAAACCACCGGGGAACGTAGATCTGCATGGCCTTCAAGCAACTCGGCAAAGGCAGTACCATCTTCCAACATCGTTTTGCCCCATCTCAAGGCCTCACGAAATGCTTCACGTCGCGTATCCGAAAGCACCGAGCCCAACTGATGCTCAGGATCAAACGGGTCTTCGATGTGAGGTCCGAGGCCAGCATCTTTGATTGGTAAGGCCCTGCCGCATCGGACCGACAACACTGTGTGATCAAGGTCCACATCTTCAGAGTAAAACTTGAAGAATCCAAGCACAAGTTCGCGCCAGGGAAAGGCATCTTCGACTCCGTTGCAGGAGAACTCTGTTGATTCCGCACTGGTCATTTCAGCCAATCTCTTGAATCCAATGTCAAAGGCTCGTCCCTCTAGTTTCACCTCTCGACGGTTCGACAAAGACTGCAAGGACACCAGCTTCTTGCTCTCTGCTGCTGCTGGCAAGTAGAGGGTCAAATCAGCTGCTTGCAAGTAGAAGACAGCGAGTAGTGACCAAGCATAGCTTGAAAGATTCTTGCTTGCAGCTCCAACAACATTTGCAGCCTTGGCAAATCGTTTGACTGCAGAAGCAAGTGGTCGCAATCGCTGATCCAGTTCACAATACTCCTTCAATAAGGCTGAGTTGTAAACAGGAAGACAATTATTTGCAGTGAGATCCAACGTGATACCATCTGCTCTGGCCAGTGTCAGCACAGGCGCACGCGCTGTTGGGACAAAGCGAATGACCTGGAAAGCGGATAAGGTGTCGCTAGCATCATAGAGTCTTGCCAACACATCTCCAGCATCAGGCAGCTCCAAGTCAGGCGAAGACAGAACGACATCAATGTCGGATGACGTGTCTGTAATACCTGTTACCGCAGATCCCACTGGTTCAAGTTGCACACTTCTTTTCAAAACGTTCGAGGCCCAGATGGAAAGCAATCTCAAAATGTCAGGGACAGCATCTGCAAACAAATGAGATGAGGCAGCGCCCCAAATCGCTTTGTTCACGGGATCTGGCGTCTGTGCCATGGCTCAAGGTTCAATGGTTCCATTCCGCCTATGTTGGATGATTGGAGACAAGATGAGACAAGGAATCACTTGGTATCAGCAAAAGATCTGACTGGATGTGATTCGAGGTTCTTCTCTGCACTGTCCATGAATGATTCCCGGCCATGAAGCTCAAAGATATTCTCTCAACTGGTATACAAAAGCTGCGACCATCCTGGTAAAAATGTTCAGCCAGCAAAATTGCTGCACAAAAAAGGGGCTGTTGTGGTGACGGATTGATCTCTGGTGCCCAAAAGAATACAGAACTTTGGTGAAGCACCAAAAATTGCTACCCAAAAAATGGACGGTATATGGATTCTTAATATTGTTCCATATTAAAAGACTATAAAAAACTGCCCACATCTGTGGTCCCCGGGTCCTAAATTTTCACCTAGACCCATATGGCCTTAGTATTCTGCAATATTCTGCATATTCCCAGCCCAGGCGCACCTCTTCATAGCTAGTTCCAGAGAGCTCCTGTGAGGCCAGTGCGTTTTACATCCTATCACTAGGAGGCAACTGACCCAAGAACTGCCCAATCTGCAGACAAGAACACGGAACACCTCTAGCGACTAGACTCGACTTTAGTGCACTAGTGCACTCTATGGACCCATATCCCTTCTTCGTTATGTTTGCAAAGTCCCAATTAATTGATCGCGCTTTTGCATTCTGGTATGTGGCCCGTTTGGACACGTGGCTGCAACGGCTCAGGTCCTTCAGCTTCTTCTTCATGCTCGCAGCATGAAACATGCGCAGCCACTCATCAAGGCTGATCTCTCCATGCTCCTGGCACTCAGCACCTTGAAACTGCAGTCAGATTGCGGGTCCCAAAGCCCATCTTTGAGCCTTTGAGCTCGAAAGTTTACAGAAATGTTAAAGATATTTATCAGATTTCAAGACGAAATTGAAGACCACCAGCTTTGAACGACTGCAAGTTGAATTCGATGGTCTCCTGCGCAATGGCGATGAAGGAGCGTTGACCATGCTTGCCAGCACTTGCCTGGGAAACCATGCAAAATCCAGCATCTTCGAGGCATCTTCCACCATTTTGTGCTAGTGCAAAATGCTGAGTGGTCCACCTGCAGGCAAAAATCCAGGACCTCCAGATCTCCGGTGAGGTATGCGGCCAAGAAATGGTTCCTGCTGTCCTGGCAGGTGGGAATTTCAAGCAGCCTCACGTTCAAATGATCGAAACTGTGATGGAAATATATGGAAATAGTGAAAAACACTTGGGAAGAATCTGCCAACCATTTTTCTGGATCCAAGAAGGTTGCTTCCGACATTTGTTCCTGCCTCCTTTGGTATCTCATTAGGAGAGCAAGCTGCATCTTCCTCATCTGAGACACCTGACAGGTCTGCAGATCAAAAGGATCAATGGGAAAATCCAACGGAGGAAGCTGCGCAACTCTGTGCCTTTGAAATGAACAAGAAAATGTGCTATCTGCTGCGATCAAATGGAGATTCATGCTATATCAGACTCCAGATCAACCCATCAGAGCCCCTTGTCAAATGTATGCAACAACTAGAGTTCCTTGTCCAACAACTCCTCAGACATTCAGCTTTCGAACAACCGCCTTCAAATTCTAAAACTCCAGGCCCATAGCTTTTGGCCGACACCAATCTCCCCATCCATTGCCGAAATTTCATGGTTTTCCGCCTCCACAATGCGAAGAAACGTCACACATCTCACTGAAAACACTGACTGAAACAGAATTTCTGGCCATTGGGACAAATCTGCAGTGCATGGTAGCTTTCTGAAGCAAAACTGTTTGACCATCAGAACACAGACAAACAGTGAAAGCCGCAAAAAAGATCCAGCAAAGGTATCTGTACATCCCGTTCCAAAATGGTTACATGTGTGCAAACTCCTTCAGTCTGAAACTCCAATTTGTTCCATGTCAAACCCAGCATGACAACGAACGAAATCCTGCGTGTGGCAAGGTGGTCCGGGGTTTGAAGTTGAAAGTATTCTTGGCTGCCCAAAACCCTTCCTGTGTCATTCCTTCGATCCTACTAATGTGAGAGTTCCAATAAGTCTGGCAATCTCAATCCCATGTAAACATATGTTTGAAAAATATAATAGTAGGTATATGTATGTATGTATGTTATATTATATTGTATTATATTATATCATATTGTATTGAAATATGTTAGATTGTCAATTATAGTGAATTATATTATATTATATTATATTACATTGTATTATATCATAGTATGTTGTACTCTAAAATATTATATTATATATTAAATTATATTATATTGTGTTAAATTATATTATATTGTATTAAATTATATTATATTGTATTATAAAACTATATTGTATTAAACTATATTATATGATATTATATTGTATTAAACTATATTGTATTATATTGTATTAAACTATATGTATATTATATTGTATTAAATTATATTATATTGTATTATAAAACTATATGTATATTATATTATATTGTATTAAACTATATTATATAATATAAAATATAATAGTATACCATATTACATAACACTATACTATATTTTATTATATTATATTATACTATATATTGTATTATATATTACATTGTATATTATATTATCTATTATATTAAATAAAATTTTATATATTATTTTATATATCAAATTAAATATTATATTATATATGATATGATATTTTATATTATATGTTATATTCTGTATCATATTATATTATACTATATATTATATATTATATTATATATCATATATTATATTACAAATTAAATGAAATATTATCATAAATATTGTATTAAATATAATATAAAATATTATATTAAATATTAAATATTATATATTAAATATTATATATTAAATATTATATATTAAATATTATATATTAAATATTATATATTATATATTATATATTAAATATTTAATACTATACATATTCTATGTTATAAATAATATACTATATATGATATATTATATTATATATTATATGATATGATATTATATTTCATATGATATGATATTATATTATCTATAATATATTATATATTAAAAATTATATATTATATATTATATATTATATGTTTTTTATATTATATATAATATATTGAATACTATATTTTAAATATTATTGGTTATTTATTATATAATATATATAGCATATTACAAATTACATATTACATATTATATATAGCATATAATATATAATATAAAAATAAAAAATATATTCTATATTATACATTATGTATTATGTATTATATATTATATATCATATATTATATATCTTATATTATAGATCATATATTAAATATTATGTATTACATTTTTTAATAATATGTATGATATTTTACCATGTTATATTATATTTTATTTTACTATATTGAATAACATTACATTATACTATGCTATATTATATAGTATTATATTGTATTCTATTATATTATAGTACGTTATGTTTTATTATTCTTTAGATTATATTAGATTATATTGGATTACATATTATGTATTAGATTAGACTATGAATACATTATATTCAGTAATATTACAATATATTATACTATATTATATATATCCAATTATAAATTCAAGTATATGTGTATATATATAATATTACATATATTACATATATATATATATACATTTTACATATATATATACTATACATTATATATATACTGTGCATTATTTGGTATATTTTATAGTATGCATGTTAAATTATTATATGTATTAAATTTCTTATATTCATAATCTATATCTATATATATATATCAAAAGTTTATATGTATTTTACTATATATATTATGTATATTTAATTTTCTACGCGACATTAATTAAATGTATATGTATAATTAAAAACCACTGCAATATATTATAGTATAGATATGTAAATTAAATCTTAAATCAAAAAATACTGTATATATATTCTTATATATTATATATATAATATTAAATAAAGTATAGTATAATACATATCACTACGAATATATATACATATACATATATATTTACTATAATATATATATATATATATTATTAATATTTTATAATATCATTATTGTTATTGTTTTTACTGTTTTTAGCATTATTATTATTCTATACCGTATATTATTTATGTAATGATATATATATGTATGATGTGATATATATATATACATAATATTAAACGTACATATGTAAAAAATGTTGAAACGTATTCTGTAAACCACAGTAATTAACGCCCAATTTCACCAGAAAAGGACGCCTGAGCCCATCCACCAGGCTGGGACGTGGCCTTCGAGGCCCCGCGGAAGGAATGTGTCTACCGTAACACATGTGACAGTCGTGGTGTTTCATGGTGTTTCCACTTTGTCTGGAGGGCAATGTTTGGTTTATTGAAATATATTGAGACATTTTGAGACACATTGAGACACCTGGAGACATATTGAGCCATATTGAGACATATTGAGACATATTGAGGTATATTGAGACATAGATTCAAAATGACATCAAAATCATCCCAAATCTGTGGGTTGTCCATGGACCACTGGCTGTGCAGGGCCTCGAAACTTCGACCGGCGGTGCAGTGGGGGTCTCCTGTGACTCCTGTGAGAACGCGGTGCCATCCAATGGAGGGCCAAGGCAAGTCGGGCAAGCACCGGCCGATGGTTTTGATACAAGGCCAATGGGACCCAATGATATCATATGATATCCAAAAGGTACAATAGTTGATGAATGTTGATGATGATTTCCCTGGTGTTGAATCCTGCTCTGCAGAAGGGTCTTGAATTTTGGGGGCAATCTCTCAATCTCGAATGTCCCGACCCACGGCCAGAGCCATGTCGAAGCAAACAGATCAATGGACTCCTTCAATCCAACCAAGAGTGTCGGAGGAGTTTTCACCCGGTTGCACTGCACAACCATCACTGGCTTGCACTGGCTATGGCAACCCCAACTGAGAGCCATTCACCTCACAATAGGCCCAAGCAGTCGTACAAGCGTGTATAAATACGTTTCCCTTCGTGCATGTCTTGGTTGCAAGCATTCGGCATCATTTGGCTAGAAATGAAATGATGTTGCGCTAGTCACTGGTGAAACCTTAAAACCACTGCTCACAGCCGCACTTGCAACAGAAACTTACTATGGATGCCAGCCTCCTGTATCAGAAAACGGATAAGTAATGACTGACTGTCATTTGTGGTTGGGTTGGAGGTTCGTCCCAGAAATCAACATGGATACTCGTCAATGTGCAGATCAACATTGTCACCCTGTCACTGGCACCTTGTTGTGGTCGATAGGTTCTTCGGTGATGGCCAGGGTGCCCTTCTGCATTTGCCGCCTGAGCAAGGGAATGTAGGAGGGACCCCACCTTTGTGATCGTTTGCATATTTGTTCAATCTGTTTATATCTGAAACTAGAGTCACAGATTCTGTGCTCTGGAATGCGCTATGTCTGTCTGTCTCTCTCTCTCTCTCTCTCGTTTATCTATCTCTCTCTCTCTCATCTCTTCTCTCTCTCTCTATCTATCTCTTCTCTCTCTCTCTCTCTCTATATCTCTCTCACGCTCTCTCTCTCTCTCTCAGATAGCTCTATGCTCTCGGAATATTCTCGCTATGTCTCCGTCTATGCTCTCTCTCTCTCTCTCTCTCTCGCGCTCTCTCTCTCTCTCTCTCTCTCTCTCTCTCTCTCTCTCTCTCTCTCTCTCTCTCTCTCTCTCTCTCTCTCTCTCTCTCTCTCTCTCTCTCTCTCTCTCTCTCTCTCTCTCATTCTCTCTCATTCTCTCTCATTCTCTCTCATTCTCTCTCATTCTCTCTCATTCTCTCTCATTCTCTCTCATTCTCTCTCATTCTCTCTCATTCTCTCTCATTCTCTCTCATTCTCTCTCATTCTCTCTCATTCTCTCTCATTCTCTCTCTCTCTCTCTCGCGCGCTCTCTCTCTCTCGCGCTCTCTCTCTCTCTCTCTCTCGCTCTCTCTCTCTCTCTCTCTCGCTCGCTCTCTCTCTCTCTCTCTCTCTGAAATGATGTTGCGAAACCTGCCAACACATCCAGTCTGGACTTTGAGCATGCAACTTTGGACATGCATCTCAAATAGTCAAGGAAATTCATTCCTCAAATGGTTTTTCCATGTTTCCCAGACTAGCTATCTGCTCCGAACGCAAATTCTCGGTTTCGTGACGCAGTTCAGTCGTGTCTTGAAAACATAAAAAATATCAAAAATATCAAAAATATCAATCATATATCATTTGAACTTTGCCGGCCTTTTCTGCAGCTCTTCATAGTGAGAAGGAACCTCAAAACTCTTGTCACCAGCAAAGGCAGCATAACTGCATACCGCATCAATCCAAAGGATGTCTGGCCTTTGGCTTGAAATTGCTTTCGGGGAGGAATCTGAACCAAATGCACTAGGAGCAGAACAGCTTGTGGGCTCTTGGTGCTAGCACCCTTCCTCAGATTCTATCAGATGCACACAATTGAGCGTTAAAAAATTTGATGTTTGACATGTGAATACAATCAACAACATCTCAGTTTCCTCAAATCCACACGTTCTGTTTCAACACCTTCCATGACATTGCTATGGCACCAAGGTTCTTTGGGTCCGTGGAACTTGTTGGACTTCGCTCATTGGCCCAACGCGAGGACTCCTCAACAACCTTACAGCAGACAGAGCTGGTGATAATGTTTGAAAACCATGTCGGGTCAGAGCGCCCACCATTCTCTTCAAGTGTGGCCCCGGCTCAGAAATGTTCAGAGTCAGCAGCACTAAGTCGCCAACGTAATTCCGCCGCACTCGAAGAGATAACTTCCGCAACATCTGGCGGGCAACCCAATTCAGGCGCCACCTCTGAACTTTGAGCCATGATGAAGGACACAGGAACCAAATGAAGACCTGGAATCCCCCGAAGTTTTCAAAAACAATGACGTTGTCACAGGATTGCTGCAGCAGAGCGCTCAGCGAAGAGAGTGGAACACGCATATCAATGTGTATGCCGTGAACAAGCCTGCGTGTGCGCGACTCAATGTGGAAGTGAATGCTTGCACGCATGCCTACATGACATTGAAGTGCATGCATTACCTACAGAAACACAATGCAAGCACTATATGACGCGTGTATGGACATCTATATCGATGTAAATGGTGCATGTGCACCTGCATGTTGTGACATGCGGGCCCAGGATCTGAGCTCAGGAATTGCATTTTTTGCAGTCCAGCGGGTGAGACTATCTCTTTGCTCTGGTTCCAAGTATGGAAATGCATGAGCATACATGCATGTGCTTGCGAACCTATGTAATAGATGTTCAACATATTTACACAACATATTTACACAACATATTATATGCGCATGATTTTGCATGTGTGTATGTCTATGTTTATGTCTAGATGTATTGACAAGTGTATGGAGAAGCATGTGCATACAACATGAAATTCAATAATTTTAAACTATGCAGGGTTGCTCCCAACAGCCCATGCACAAAGGGTGTAAATTGGCTACGTACCATGTAAAGTGGCTAATGTTGCCCCGTTGTGGCTAGATTTACCTACGGGGCTGCAGCAACGCTGTCATATGTGAAATAACATGTGTGTAGGTCTTGTATGTCTGTATGATATGTATAATGGATATGCCATGAAGGTGTGTATGTGTGTGTGCGTGCGCATGTGGAAGTGCACCCTGCTAGGCGTCCGGTGAAACAATGCAGGCACTAGATGATGCCTATGTATGAGTTTATGTAATGCGTGCATGCAAGCGTGCATATCGATGTATATGTTACACATCAAATCTATGCCCCTCACTTGCAAAAACCCTTATATGTATGTGAAAGCAGAAAGTCCAACGACCCACCCTCGCGCCTCTTTTTTTGGCCAAGGATGTCTAATCTATTCTCAGTGCCACGGGCCATAGACGTAGGGTGAGCTGTTGTCATCGTCCCTTTGCGCTCTATTACAATGGCTGGCAGGCTGAACGACCTAGGCTGCAGGCCGCAGATAATGTACTGGAAGAAAAAAAGAAAAATGAAATCTATCTACAACCAGAAACAACGTTTAGGACATCACCTTTGGATACCTTTGGGGGGTTGGCTGAATACGCATGAAAAGAGTGGCTTCTAACCGATTCTAACCAGTATAGACAATACGCATCCCTGAAAGCTTGGTACCCAAATCCACATTCCTTGAAGCAATGTTGGAACCCCTAACTGCAAGCTTGCCATTGTGCAGAACAATCTTTGCCCCTGCAATTGTTGCTCCTGTGACAAAACATGCCTGCGACAGCAAACACTGCAAGACCGGTTTGTGTTTCTCCTCTGCCTCTGCTTCTTTGATCCACGGGGATTTTGACCCACAGGCACACAGTCTGGGTGAAACCGTTAGCAGGGCCCGTCGCCACCAATTTTGGTGGCGCCAAAGCCCTGGTGAAATGATCGCAATGTCGCCTGCGAACATCTGCTATGATATGGGGTTCACCATCCATTAGCTACAAATTATGTCTGTCTATATGTCTATATTGATCATATTGACGCCTGAATCAATGCTGCCACAGGCCATGGATGTTCGATCCAGGTCTATGGTACACATCATTCATGCAACATTTGGCAGGATTGAAAAGAAATACTGGCCTCAGCACAAAGCTATGGAGATAATGAAGGAACATGACGATGATCGGGGCGGTGAGGATGAGAATGAGGATGAGAATGGGGATGAGGATGATGATGATCCTCATCATGATCTTCATCATGATATTCATCATGATCCTCATCATGATCATTTTTGTGATCCTGATGATTGTGATGACTGTGGTGACTGTGATGATTGTGATGGGTCGATTTGTGGGTCGACTTGTGGACAAAAAGTGGAGACGCATAACAATTTGCAACCTCAGAGATTCACAGAATTCGCAAAAGAATTACAGAATGGATGAACATAGCAATGAAAAAACTTAGGCGCTGGCTTTCAAGCACACCATCCTGCGCGAAGGTCGAACGTTTCAACATGTTGACTGAAGAGACTGAGAACCATCAGAGTCATCATTTCCGGCTACCAGCAGCGCATGTCACTAGAAAACGCAAGTTCAGCCGCAAGTTTTTCTCTTTCAGCGGTTGGCAGTCAAGGCGGTCTTGTCCACACTATTCCAGAACAGGAGCAGCACAATCTCCATGGGAGGGATCTTCTCGGAATTCTCATTTACGGGAGGCTCTCCCAGACTCCTTCTAGGTGAGCGCAAGCTGTTCGATGGTGTTCAATGCAGGGGGCAAAAAGGCTCTGAGGACCTTAACTTCAAGATGTAAAAGCATTCCGGTTGAATGCTTAAAGTGTGAATATAAAAGAGCGAGGCGTGCGGCGCGTGCCACAATTTGAGTCTGCGGTCGTGAAATTTCAAAGTTTCCTCTCGAACTTGTCCGCCTCTGCCAGGAGCCACCTGAGCGGTGCTGAGGCCCTGGCTGTCCAGTAGCTTGCTTCCAAATACATCACAAAGGAAAGGAAACATCCAATGTCACATCATCACTAACATATCTAATACATTACATATATGTACAATGATTTTTCATATTCATATTACTGTACACAATTTATGAATGAAAAAACAGAACACAAATTCAAATCAGAACCGGACCTGACTGCAGCCTCAAGGCCCTGTCCCTGAAGGGCACAGCAAGGATGCACGTGGAAAGACCTGGCCCAGGAAGCTGGTGGTTTGAACTCATCCCACGTTAAGCAATTGAGGATCATAATCCCAGGTAGCAATGTGGTATATACATACGTATATACTTGTGTATACCCAATTATAAACCTCAATTGGGATTGTTTACAAAATCGGGTGTACCTCATAGAGCAAAAAATCACCAACCATAGAAGTATGAACCCACATCAAATTTCTGAAAGAAACAGCTACGAAAATTCGATCAATAGGACGACGATGCTTTCAGTAGCGCTGCAAATGCCTGTCGCTGAACAGCCGCTCGAACTCGAAAAAACGAGAGAGCTCCTCATGAAAAGGTTAATCCAAAGTCGTTCACACTACCCTCTGGCAATTTAATATAGCCATGGAAAGTCACGACGTTTAATACTATATAGGTAAATCATCTATGAATGGGCCATGTTCCAAAGTTTTCTGAAATGACCAAAGGATAAGGTATTTCCAAAGAGGCTTCAAATTCAGGTTTCGTGGGTTTTGACAGGAACAGGCCAGGTGTCAATTTTGGTGGTGCACATGAAAACCGATGAAGCATATCATATATTATATATAGTCAATTTGCTGGGAGGGTCCACCCAAATGTCGCTCCTGCACGCTCATGGCATCCGGTTTGTCTTGCTTGTTAGCCAAGCACAGCAACGGCACCTCAGCTTTCATTGCAAAATGCATGAAACCCCGTTGGCTCATAATACCCGAGTCAGCTACTGCAGTGGAAATCACCGCGCATCAGCGCGATGTGGTCATGGCATGGTTTGAGTTTGTTGCGTTCAATGTTCTCGATTGATGGCCATTTGATAGCCGCCTTTACCAATATGAGTTCCCCATAGCTCCCCAAAGTTTTTGACGCGAGTTCAAGGCCTTGCTGATCAAGCGCATTTTGCGCTTTGCGCTGCCAGTCAGTGGGCCGCTCGGCCAGTGCTACACAGAAAAGGTGCAAAGAAGAGGCCGCAATTCAGTGTGACCTGCTGCCCTGGCCAAGTCTTCAGGTGTATCTCCGCGATCATTTGCAACATGTTCAGAATCATTCTCCAAGAGAACTTGCACCAGTGCCTGATCTCCCATGACTGCAGCGATCGAAAGAGGTGTGGCACCCGGCAGAGAAGCCATTTGTCGCTGGTAAACACCACAACCCTCCAAGCCCCAAAGAGTAGCACAAACCCAAGCACGCATGCAATCCCAGTAGAGAAGTCCACGTGGCTCAGCTGGGGGCATTAACATCACCACGCAAGGACAGTAGCAATTGCATGATCTCGGTGGCATGTGGATTCCCCCGCCCAAAAAATGATACGCTGTACATTGGTCCAAAGCCATTTGAAGAAACCATGTTTGGATCACATCGGGCTTTCAGAAAGGCCCTCACTGTTTCAGCGAAGGAAATTCCAACAGCACCCGTCAAGATTGGTGATGTCGCAAAGTCAGCTTTCTTTTCCAGCAAGACCTCCACATGTCCAGGATGGGATGCCACCCACGAAGCAGTGATGATGGAGCCGGTCTCTGAAATGCATGAGAGACTGGGATCCGCATGCATCTTCGAATCTGGAACGCCATAAGAAGCGATCATCAGCAGGGTTAAACCATCGGAGTAGCCCAAGTGCCTAATACCACTGACACGAACGTTCACATCTCCATGATGCTCTACCAAGGTCTGCACAATGTTCACGTCACCTTCAAGAATTGCGCATAACATGCCAGTCATGCCACTTTCATGTTTCACAGCGGCATCAATGTTTGGAAAATTGAAGTGCTGCAAGAAGCTTTGAAGCTCCAAGCCGTTCTTTGTTTGGTTTAGCAATCTGGGCTGTTGAGACAAGTGGAAACGGTAGTCGGTCAATGGGCCCAACTCATTTAGGTGTTGTTTTTTGCTTTGGAGCGCCATCTCCCCTAGTTTCACCACCACTGCACGATCACTTTCCACCGTAAACAAACCATCGGAGATCAAATTTCTTTGCCAATCCAAGGATAAAATGTAAAGGGTCTTTTTTCTCGGGCTGAAAAAATAACAACCACGCTGGTGTCTGGTCGATTTGACAACAATCGGCACCAGGGTTCGGCCCTGCACCACCCCCTCGCCAGCCAAATGCCGTTGTTGTTGTTGTTGTTCCATGAGACGTCAACCTGCACGACAAAGTCGCAGTTAAGACGCCAATGACATCCAGCTTGTTGTTGTTGTTCCATGAGACGTCAACCTGCAGGACGAAGTCGTAGTTGAGACGCCAGTATCTATCCAGCTAGTTACGCATCTGCCAGGCCTCACTCCGATAGGCGAAATGAGGCAAGCAAAGGTCCCACCAAGAGCGTGTCACCATGCTTTGTCGTTGCACTGCGGTAGAAGCCCACAGCACCGCATCTCGACGTTCCTGCGCCACTGTGTTGTATCCAGCCCCATGATCGTGCGCCAGTTGTTTCGCTGTCGAGTCGGCAGCTGCATTCATGGCCCTGCAGAGATCTGGAGAAGGATATCCAGCCGGGCGTTTGCCATGCGAAGGGATCCAAGCCAAGCGTGAAGCAGGTCGCCAGCGCGCAAGGAGTTGATGCCAGAATCCCGAAGCATCGCCACCCTTTCTCCCATGACGAAGGAGGCTGTCAAAGCGACGCGCCACCGCTTCGTTGTCCGTGAGGGCCAAGACATCCATAGTCGCAGCGGATGCCGCCGCAGTGACATACCACAAGGCCATGCGCTCCGCATAGTGGGGAGTGTGGTCCGCACCCGTCAGAGCTCCGCCGAACGTGTAGCCATCTGAAGCAGCTGCAGCCCACGCTGTGCAGTTCCCAAAAGCCTGACTGTAGGGTCCAAGCAAGAGCCATCCAATGCCAAGCAGATCATTGTGGTACCAGAAGCGCCGAATTTTTGGTTTCACTGCAAAGTGGGAGTGCTTCGCCAAGCTGCTCTCCTCGGCCCGGTCACCGCTTCAGACGCGCGGGCAAGCCGGGGCACACAGACCTGACCACCAAGCTCACCCACCGGTGCCGCAAAATTGGCCCTCCTCCAGCTCCTCGTGACCTCCCTCTTCCGCTGGCCTCCCACATGGAATCCGCCTTGTGGGCCGCCAGGGTGACGTTTGGGCCCCACACCATGCATCCCGAGTACCTCACCCACTTCGCGTTCTTCCGCGCGACCCGCCACCCCACCCACTGGCCCATGGTCCCATCCGCCTTGCTTGGGATACCGAGCGTTTTGTGGGCCACTTCCGCCTCCTCTGGGACTACGACACGAAAACGGCTGATCCCATTCGTCCCAACCAGGAACCGGTGACTGATCACCTCCGCCCCTTCCGCTCCACCCTGGATCCTCATCTCCGCCGGGTTCTGCTTGGGTGCGCTGCTGATGCCCGCCTCCTCCCTCGCTTGGGCCGCGGCCGTCCCTGTGCCTGTGGTGGTCCCAACCACAGCAGAACACGCGCTGATCCCTGTTGGGCCACTGATCCTGAGCGCCGTTCGCTCACAAGGCTGGTGACCTTCCTTCCCGCTATCGTCCAAATAAATGGCCAAACCAATCCGTGGGTGGGCCCGGGCCATAGCGAGAGACCAAATCGCCATTATGGCGTTGAGCAAGGCTGGGGAGGCAGGGCAGCCTTGCAGCAGGCCACGTTGGACCGGGACCGGAGAAGGGTGGACACACCCACGGGAGATAAACCAGCGAGTTTGACCCGCGTAAAAGAAACGAAGGACCTGTGTTAGGCCCGCCGGAGCACCCAAGTGGTCAAAGACAAGAAACGCAACGCCAAAGTCCACAGAATCAAAGCACCGCTGGATGTCGGCTTTGGCGCCGGCCATGTTGCGACCAGCAAGGGCGCTATGCACGTCAAGTGCCGTAGTTGCATTGAAGTGCTGTATCACTATGTACCAAATCCGGCAAAAGCGCCACAAACATATCACAAATCTCTAGATAGGCCGGAATGCTCTGAACAGCTCGAGCTGTATCTGATCTTGCAGCATCATCATTGACACCATCAACTCTTTGGGTGATCTGCGGGATTGCAAACCAGTCGAAGAAGAGATATCCATCAGCCACCTGCTCATAGCTAGTAGCCACTCTTCCTCACCGAAGGTACGCATCAGGTCTTCCTCCACCTTCATGGAACCATCTATCAATGAAGGCCTCCAAGGCTTGCCTCAGCAACGCCACCTGCTGTCCTGAAGGGGTCCGGAGATTTGGCACCCAAACACTGATGCGAGATGAAAATCACAAACATTCCCGGCTGCCATTACTGGAGCAAACCTTTCTGCCGCAAAACATGATGTGGTTCGGGCGCACCTTCCATCGCCAGAAAGTCCGATACCTTAACCACATACATAGGAAACGAGCACTGGCGCACCCCATTGCAATCTGGCTCCCTGCGATCCAAACTGCCCTGCGCCGCCTGTGCCGTGCCCATCACGGGTACTGCAGGCTGAAATGGCCTGGTGAGGCGTTGCCTGATGGGGCCTTGGGCCAATTTCAGATGGAAAAATAAACGAACACACAATGTTAACCCAGATCATCATCATCATCATCATCATCATCATCATCATCGTCATCGTCATCGTCATCGTCATCTTCAACATCGTGATCATCGTCATCATCACCATCATCATCATCATCGTCATCGTCATCTTCATCGTCAACATCACTGCCATCATCATCATCATCATCATCAACATCATCATCATCGTCGTCATCACCATCGTCATCTTCATCGTCGTCGCCATCATCATCATAATCATCATCATCATCGTCACCGTCACCGTCATCGTCATCATCGTCGTCACTATCATCATTAGCATCATCATCGTCATCGTCGTCCTCACCATCGTCATCATCATCATCACCATCATCATCATCATCACCATCGTCATCATCATCGTCATCATCATCATCATCGTCGTCATCGTCATCATCATCATCATCGTCGTCATCGTCATCATCATCATCATCGTCGTCGTCGTCGTCGTCGTCGTCGTCAACGTCGTCGTCATCGTCATCGTCATCGTCATCGTCGTCATCTTCATCCTCAACATCGTCAAAGTCATCGTCGTCATCATGATCATCTTCTTCTTCATCATCATCATCATGATCATCATCAATAGCAGCAAGATTCCCCTTTTGTCCACCCACCTTTCTTCCAATTTCATGACCCACCTCTTCCACTCCACCGAGCCACTCCCTTGAGCTGCTCATGGTCGATCACCTCTAGCAGTGTGCGCTTGGCTTCCTCCAAACGCCCTGGGTCTGCCGAGTCCACCACGAACATCACCCCTGGTGACTGGCACAACCAAAATCGGATTTGGAATTTGCAGATCAGAACTTGCAGCCAAGAGCAAAGGTCAAGGGATCATCCGCGCGCGCAAATCAAGATCACATGTACACACAGAGACCAGCAAACCCTCACAACTACACAGGGGTCATAGGGGGTAGGCCTGAAGGTAATCTTATACCTGCTTGATGCAATTTCTGGGATTTAGGGGTGCCTGAGTCTGTGGCATGCTGCCGGGCTCTACTACCTGCTTATGCAACTTACAGCACGAACACGCAATAGTTTTATCGAATCCGGTGAACACCTTTCCAAATCTCAGCAGCGAACAGGCAGCAACAGCATCGTGATGAAACATGATACCTAAAACTTCCCCAGACTGCCATAATGTATCTGACTCCCGCAGATGCCTGCCTTGCACTTCGGGGTAGTAATTGTGCCAGACCGAGCGAAAAGACGCATGACCACCGAGGTCCCAAAAAACCGCAATGACTTTGTCGATCTGGATTCGACCGATATTGAAACCAATTGTCGGCGGTATCCTGCCAGATCAAGCCCACCATGGGAAGTCAGTCAACTGGTTTCATTATTCCATAATTCCATGTGTTTGGACATTTCGAGTCACCATCTCATGCACCTGTACAACAACCAGTGGAGAATGCCCCAGCAAACCAACAGATTTTCTTCTTTGACACGTGCAATAGACCACAAGACATCCACATGGTCTCTTGCCAGAACGCTGCCTAGGATCCTTATCTCTTGGGTCATGTCTTGCCACTGCAACCACCAATGGACCATATCAACCATGGTGAATCTTAGATGCCCAACAAGGGAATAGTTCGCAGCTAGATAGCAGCCCCATTTCTGGCAATAAAAAATAAACCACCCAACATTAGGCAGTCATGAAATTCACGTCGTGCAAAGAAAGTCGTTGTGAAAGTAGCGTGCACAAACGCCGCTAAGAACTCCAACTGGGCACTGTTACCCTCTGGTAATTTAATATAGCTATTGAAAATGGCAATAGAAATTGTTAAATAGTTGATCTTCCCATGAAAAAGTGTGCATTAAAAATTGTGATTTTCCATAGCAAAATGTTAGTTTACCAGAGGTACACCTGGCGCGATGTCGCGCCTCTCAGGCGCCATGGCCTTCAGTCCGAACAACGCTTTGAGCTGCTCGAGAGTGGTGGTCTTCCCCGCGTTGTCCACGCCCAGCAAAACCATGCGCCGCTCCTGGCGTTTGGCTGAGCAAAGAACGGAAACTGGAGGGATGACATGTGAAGTTAAGTTGCTAAATGGAAATCGAAATAATAAGACTGGTAGGGTAGTGGTCCCCAACAAAGGCACCCTTCTCGACTCCTCCTTTTGAAGAAACCATTGCCAGAGGCCGCAAAGCAAGCTGAACATCAGCCTCAGTCTGGAAAAAGGGTACCAGATTCTGATTATCCCACTTGAATACGTGGCGGTTAACAGTGTTCAACACTGCTCAAACAGCTCAGTCCCATTCTGTGAAGCTTTCCAGACCTGTTTTGCCAAGAAACAAGTGGGTCTGACCGGGCAGCCATCTCCCGTGGCCCGGCAACCGGAGTTTGAGCCAAGTCTGCCACAGCCACTTAACTCAATCTGAGCAGCTGAATTTGAGGATTTGTCAAACCCTTTCCTGAAAAGGAACGAAACGAACTATGGAAGTCTGCACCGCACAGCGGCGTTGCATTCCCAATTCATCTTTGGACCTGTTTACCATCACTTTTTTACCAATGATTTCATGAAGGAAACACATGTTGCCAGGCTCTTGAGATCACGAAAAGAAAATAGAGATGAGCTGAGACTTCACTGGTCCTCTGGCAAGTCGGTGCAGTGTACCACGTTGTGGACATTGTCTCTGCCTGGCGCGAGGCATCCGCATGGATCAAAGCTTTCCAAGTGAGGTCATACTTTGGGAAGTCTGTAATCCTGTGCTTTTAGGTGCGCGTCAAAAAAACCTAAAGGTTAGCTTCGTGATTATCACCAAGTACCAGTAGCTAGCAAAACGACGTGCATCTTCAACGTGATAAAGACCCCTTGCTTTTCGGCCTACATCCAGTGATACAACCAAAACCATTAAAACAACTGTTGAAAAAAAATGAATCCACTTATCAGTGGCCGTTGAGGCTCGCACCATGAAGGGCACGGATCGTGCTGGGCCGCAGGTGCCTGAGGGCAGCTGGTTTAAGGTTGGCCTCGCCGGGGTGGTTTCAATGAGGATGGGCAACTACATATGGCATTCATTGTGGGATGAAAATTATCCATGAGCCCCAGCTATTTTGGTGCGAAAGCCAGGCACCAGAATGTGGATGACAACAGGATCCCCAATTTAGATACGCACCAGCCACAGTTCCACTGCCACGTATCTCACTGTGAGGCAGAAAATGTTGGTGCCTGGAACCCACATGTTCGTCCCGCCTCGCAATTTCGATATCAAAGGGCCCACAGAGTTCCCGCAACCTGCGCGATGTGCACTAAGAAGTTTTGAGATATTCAATCAAAGATCATCAAACAACATCCAGAATTCCAATCAGGATCCACTTGCCACGCTGCCAAGGAAGACTCTCAAATTGCAAAAAAGGTCAACCACTGCCCGGTTGTCAAAGCTCATACAGGCAAGCTAGAAGGATCCGGTTTTCCAACCTTGGAACCACATCTTCACCTCGTACCTGGTAGCAAGCGGATATGGCTTCGAGATGGTTCACATGTGCAATGGCGAAGCATCACTTGTCCATATCTCATGTTGATTTGTGGGATCAGGGGGGTGTTTCTTCCTCCAAAGGAGGTCTTGGGAAACCTTCCCCAAGGGCCCAAAGTATGTCCGAAACCCTCTGTCATTCCATTGTACTGCATGGTCAGTACGGATTTCCAGTTCACGGATGATCATTGTCAATATATTCGGTCAGTATAGTATAGATTCTAGATAGTAGAATCCACTATCATCATCAACCAACAATCATTGATTTATAAATATACCGAATATACCCCATTTTTTGATAATTAAAACTTACGTAATTCAATGACCGATCAACCAGGGTTTTGAAATCATACTGTTAACCAGTGAAACATCCCCATAATATCCCATAATATCCAAATGTAGCATGAATATTAGCATGAATGGTATCCCTCCAAAAAACATCAACACCGCTCAACTGAGGCATGCGGGGGTCCGACCTCCATCGCAATGCAGGTTCCTGAAGCCAACTCAGTGATCATGGCAGAGTACTGGGCCTTGGAGACACCGAGATTTAAGGCCCAGAAAAATGAAGACCAACAGACCCATAAAGTATATCAAAGAATTAACATATCCTCAAACGTTAATTAGATAAAATTGGTGTTTTTGTTTTAGGATTGAACATGATCAAACCGTCCAAAGTTCGGGGGACCGCGAAATTCGGACCATGCTCAAAGGCATGGGCTTCAAACCATCTATGTCAATGTGAGTCTGGGATAGAGTGTCAGTCTTTAACCCTAGCATACGCACAAATCGTTTCATCCCACTCCATTGCTGCCTGTCACACAGTGAATGCACTGCCTCAAAGCACCCCATCTTGGGACATGACGCTTGGAAGGACAGTCTTGTAAACCTGCCCAAGCAAGCAGGTGCTCCCTCACAGTTTTCAGTTCATGGCGCTTCAGCATTTTTACATCTGCGTCTTGGACCGAGCGCGCTTTGACTTGGAGCTTCCCCAACACAGAGAATTTACATGAATTTAGCAGGTCCCATACCATCCATGCAGTCTGCCACACAGTCTTCCACAGAGTCTGCCATAGAATGTCAGACCCTGCAACATCGCGCACTGGCCTCATAGAAGTTCTCTGCTTGGCTTTTGAGGAGCACAAAGCTCTGCATCGCAGAGATCTGCAGCCTGGAAATTTGGCCCAAGTACATGGCGCGAACCCAGGGGCTGTCGGACTGTAGCGATTCAATTGTCTCAAAAAAATGCAAACAATGCAAACCTTGATGCTGAAGCCACAGCATGTTCAATGATATGCAATGGTATTTTCTTCAATGACACCAAAATTATCGATTTGGCGTACCCTTCTCTGAGCACCGAACCCTGCTTCCATGATGGCATTGATCACTAGCCCAGTCTGGGATCGGGTCACAGCGCGAGAATCAGCAAAGAAACAAATCCAGTCTTCCAGTCAGGCTCTCGAAAGCAGCACAGCACTCATCAACCCGTCCACCGTTACTTCATGGGTTCAACCTGTTCCAATGATCAACACAACAGAGGTCCATGGCCTTCCCTTCTCGCACTGCATGTGGCCTCACAGTATGGCTAGAACTACAACGCACATGCTCCAAAGCATCCATTCGACTTGAGACCCATCATTTGGAGACATTCATCATCTCAACTTTCTGGTACTCCCAACTGGTGCAATCTCTAGCAATGGACGAGTCTGAAAATGCTGGCAAAAATGCAAAGCAAAGTGTTTTTGCGCGTGGACATGCATGGACCAAGCAAGCAAGTTTCTCTTCTAGCCACAAGCCAAACCGCAAAAGTTCAATCATGATTTGGAGTGAAAGTGCTAGCTTCCGCGGAGGCTCTCTGTAGAATCTCGAAAAAAAAGGAACAACTCGTCCAAAGGTGCAATTCAAGCCTTCCAGCAAGTAAATATGGAGCATTTACCAGGCACCTGATGATACATAGGGAACAACCCTCGAAGATAGCGGAGCTATCCTTTCTGGCAAAGACCTGCAGTGCTTCAGCACACGAGTCAGTCTGTCTCTCACGTGAAAAACCATCAAGTGCCAACTGCTTCTCGTCACGTACGTTGATATCGTTGATCTGTGGAAATGCTCCTGTTTCATCCTGTTTCTGTCCATGACGGCAACTACACACCTTCTCACTTGCAGGTCCAGAAGTCTCCGTCTGGATCGCCTCAGACTTGCTATCCTATCCAGAAATATCCAGAAATATCCAGAATCCGCTTCCCATGGAGTTTGACGAGTAAAAAGCCACAGCCCGTTGGTACCCCGTTCCGTTCCGTTGGTCGATCATCGTAAAATCGACTCGATGGCCCCTCTGGAGCCCTGGCCGAATCCGCCACCTGCGCAGTGACCTGGCAGAATCCGGGCACCGGAAATGCGAAATGCCGAGATCGGCTGTGGTTTTAAGTTTGATGAATATTCCCTGAAAAATCTCAAATCGATATGTTTTTTCTATTCCATGCAACTCTTGATCCAACCTCGAAGTACGCACCACATCGCAACACAGATTCTATCGATTCTTCAGCGTTTTGGCGGTGCCTCCTGCCAAACATCTGCCCCTTGGCCTTGGCAATGGGTCTTGGAGCATCCCAAAGTTTCCACGATCTCTTGTAAAGATTACGAATCATTAACTTATACAGCTGTTTTATATGCATAACTATGCTCAACTGAAATAGTTTTGACTCTTGACCCGCAGTTGCCACAGACGGTCGACGTTTCACAAGATACCAATCAAGTTGCGCTTGAACAATCCAAATCTATTGCCGAATGTTCTTCAAGCCAGGCATTGGACCCTATCCTTTGAGGCGAGAACCCACCAGTTCCAAATGAACAGCCATTTCTCCGGCATCGGCAAGTGTCTTCACCTGTTGGTCAGATTTTGTCTGGGAAACTTCGAAACCATCAACCGAAGCTATCCAAATCTCAGAGACACTTGCAAAAAAGTAATTTTCATTTCAAGACATTGGTTTAAGGGAAAACCTCTGTACAGGAAAGCAAGATTTGTTTCCCTCCGAGTTCATTCCACATTCCACAATGTCCACATTGTGTGCAAAGATATGGCACCCGCTTGATGGTGAAGCCCGTCTCGTACGCTGCCAGGAAGTAGTCCCCCAACTGCGCCATGGCATTACCACAGATGACGGTGTAGACCTGACAAAATCAACAAACATGCAACGATCAGTCAATCCAAGGTTTTCATAGTTGGAAAACGGTGGGTGCCATACATGATATTTTTGTACGCCGCGCGATATACTAGCATGTGAGTGGTAGAAAAGACAGGAAACTACATCCAATCTATTCAATCTGAGATCACCAAGGGAAAATGTATTTGCTCAAAAGGAAAAACCACTAACAACTCTTGAGGGTCTCCGATAACACAAAACTAGACTTGCAATCTCTCATGTATATCTCCAGAAGCGCACAAGTCGAGCAGCACACATTGAAACGGCATTTGGGAAGCCAATTCTCGTGGGTTGAAAAGCATGGCAAGCATTCTGCCTGCCCTGCGCTCTTCTGGAAAAAGGCTTCAGTTGGCTTGTCTGCAAAGGAAACTATCCTTAGCACAACTTGTGGGAGAGTGGCGCATGCTAGACGGCCATGTTAAAGTTACATCAAATTATCGCAGCAAACCAACACCTGCCACATGTTTTCTGAAACTCCAAAACATCCACTTGGACCCAGACTTCATTTTTCTGGCACAAACTGTGACTTCGGCTCCCTGCACAGAGTGACAATGAACCTGCACATGCTGATGGATTCAACGAAGTTCACCCGGTCCAAGGAACCGGCGATGAAAAGATCCTCCAAACGGAAGGCACCATCTTGGTCATAAACCTGACATATCGATGCGCCGACAAAGTCAAGGCCGCCCTCCAAAGTAGAAAACAAGTTCCAGCCGGAGCGCCCCTCTTTTCAGGAACAGTCGTTTGGATTTGGTATCATACCTGCCACATGAAAAATGCAAACCAAAACCAACCCCTCAGGATGGCGCAGGAAGCAAGTAAACAAACAAAATTTGCAAAATGTAATAAGGAACAAACGTGAAGCACACAACAAGTTCCAGTTCAAAGGCAAATGATTCAAACCATTCGTGTCGGCCAAGTTTGAACAGATTAAAATGCAGGGCACAGCGACAACTCATTGGGGATGCCATGGCCCTTGCTATAAACTGTGAGGAGAAACTCCTGGCGCACTTTGTCTGAACTGTGCCCTTCTCTGGGTTCCCACAATTTAGTCTGTCCTTCGTCATCTGGGATGTTTCCTCCACATGCTCACCTAAGTTCTTAAAGCAGAAACACAGCGAAAATCAAGTGGATGCAATTGCTAAAAGGACCACCTTCGCCATCCGTTTGCATGCAGGCATCATCACTCTCAGTCCCCACACATACAAAGTTGTACTTGTGAGCATCAGACATCTCCTCCAGGTAAACCAATGCAGGTTCAAATATTGAACATTTAGTTTAAATCCACAGGAACGCACATAGTCGTGGGTGAAGTCCGAAAAATTGGTTTGTGCGTTGTGCTGGTGCAACAGTCCCAACAGAAGTCAAAACAATGTTTGAATATACCTTTACATTTCCCATGTTTTAAACCTGTCAGCTGGTGACATGGTACACTTGAAAGAATGAGCCCTACAAAACCGTTGTTTGATTTGTTGGTGAAAAAGGATTGGCAAAAACTGGGCATTGACCACGCGGTTTTCACAACATGTGGTTTCTACTTTCCCAGAGTCGTCGGCCACCTGCTTGCAAAAAGGGAAAGTCCTGGACAGCAACGTGATAGCAACCAACTACCAAATCCAAAGACGGACCAAAGTTGTGTTTTGTTTTTGCAACCAGTGCTCAGTGCTCATTGGGGAAGTGAATTTGCAAACTATTTACTGTAACACTAACTGTAGATGATTCGCGTTTTAGGTGGTTCACACGCTTGGTTCCTGGAGCCAAAAAACACGTGGGCCTGCAACTTTCCGAAGTCAGCACCACCAGTCAAAGCACGAAGCGTTGCTGTGAAGAAACACAGACACATTTCAGCAATTCCATTTTCTTCGGGTGCCCGACCAGCTGCAAGCCTCCACACCTGTCAGCAAAAGTGAATCCCACTGTATCCTTTTCCAAAAATCTTGAAGCCCAAAAGAAACTGATTGCGACTGAATTTGGATGATTTTATCTTAAAAGACTCAGTGAAGAGAACAACAACCTAATTCAAACGTACATGAATATGCATGCCTGCGTATATGATCACGTGTCTGTTTGTGAAAGAACGAATGTGTGTCTGTGCCTCTGTCTGTGTCTGTGAACAAATGCATGCGTTCATGAATGGATGAGTGGAACGAAAAAAAAATAACCGACTGAAGGGCCCCACCAGCTGCTGTGCTGGCTGGTGCGCGCGCAGCTCTTCAAACACTGCCCTTGCTTTCTGCTCCTGTGCTCGCGGTCATATCATCTTACAAAACAATCCACAATCATGAACACGTCTTTTTGTTGGTTGTTCATTAGAAGGAGGATGGAATTGTAGTATATAGATGAAAGTGAACATTGATGATAATGGATAATAGGATGGGTATCAACAAAACCAGATATCCCCGCTGGGGTCCATAGCATGTACAAATAGAAGATGTCAAGCGGTATCAACTGAAGTGAGAAGAAGATTAGGAAAGAAAGATAAGTATGAAGTAGGAGAGATGCTGATATGCAGATTGTATAGGAAAGATGATAAGGGTAAATTTAATGTTAATATAAGATGGTTGATTACAAAAGTAGAAGGTAATATGATAACAATACAGGACATCAAGGATAAAGCACATGTAAGAACAGTAAATGAAAGTATCATAGACAATCATTTTAGATATGTTTACTGCTCCACATGCCATAGCAGACAGGGAACATCAATAAGGGGAAACATTACAATACATGAATGGCAAAAATCCTATCTAGTAGGCAGAGAGTGGCTGTGGTGCGCCATACAAGGGCAAGGGATTTTAACAATGTCTATTCTTTCAAGAATGAACAGGCAGATGAAGAGATGAAAAAGAATTTAGTAATAGGATACTTCAAGAACAAGATTGAAGGATACAAGAAGCAGGATAAAGTAGCAGATAGAGAGATTGATTTAGAAAACTATGTTGATGAAGAATTGTGTTTAAAACATGTTCATGGTTGTTGTGCCCACTGTGGAGTAAAATTTTATATTGAAATGAAGGCAGGTAAATTATCAACAAATTTCACCTTTCAGAGAATAGATAATGAACTCAGCCATCATATAGAGAACGTTGAGGCTCGGTGTAAGTATTGTAATTGTTGTATTCACTGATTGTTGTTGTTTTTTTCAATAATAATTATCTTAATATATATATAATAATGGATTCTAAGCAAGAGATTATAGGAAACATATATTATAATGAATCAGGTTTTGGCTCTAAAGCTACAACTTTAAAAGATGCAAGAGAGAAGGATAAGAGCATATCAGTGAAAGATGCTGAAGAATTCTTTAAACAGAATGTAGAGATTTAAAAAAAAAAATCCAAGGGGCTACAACTCCTTTGTTGCACCTCACAATAACCATACTTATCAAGTTGATATATTCTTTATTTCAAAAAAGGACTTAAAGGTAAAACAAAAGTTTCGAGGAGGATTGGAATGCATTGATGTTCTAAGTAAATTTGCAGTGCTTGATCCGGTAAGGAGAAAAGAAAAAGGGTAGTGCCATCAAAGGAACAAATTTGGCATTACAGAAGATGCAAAAAAATCCAAAAATCATATATACTGATGATGAGAAAGCTATAGCAAGTAGTGAATTTCAAGAGTTTGTTGAAGGTTAAAATATTGAACTTTACAGGACTAGAGGACATCCAGCTTTTGCAGAACGTTTTATACGCACCTATGAAAAAAAAGACTAATATACAATGGATAGACCACATAGATGAAATTATGATGACATACAATTCCAAAGATGTTCACTCAAGTATAGGACAAACACCAAACAAAGCAAGAGACAAAGACAATGAGTTTAAATCAAGAATAAATGTTTCAATAAATGCAAAGAAACAGAAACTCTACCCTGAGTTGAATGTAGGAGGCAAAGTAAAAATCAGAAGAAAGAACAATAACAGAGAAAGAAAGAACAAATCATTTTTTGAAAGGTGAATATACTGTAGAAGCACTTGATACAAAATTAAATCAAAAATATTACACATTAGCAGGATACAATGGACCTTTAACGAGGCATGAGTTGGTAAAAGTTTAAACTACCATTTATAGGAAATATATTTAAAGGAGTATTGATATAATAAATATAGTGAAATGTTGTTCAACTATAGTAAGTGTGAGTGTTGTAAGGGTAAAAGGAGGGATGTAAGTTTTACATTTTACAATGTATTACCAGCAAATGTTTGTGATATGATAAGGGAGTAAAATGTATATTGCAATCAGTGCTGTATAACCAGAGACCTTGAAAAGTTCTTTGTTGAAAAGAATAAGGATAAAGGATATACAAAATTTCAGGTGTAACTGAAATTCTTTATGAAGCATCAGCAGAGGTTTCAAGTTTGTTTTTACTACAAGACTGGTAAAAAGTGATTTGAAAAAGAAATTGATAAATTCGTTAGCAATGAAAATTTAATTAAAAAATTTGGAGGAACAGATAAAATTAAACCATACAAAGCATTTGTAAAACAATGTAGAGACTTGTTTGATGCAATTGATGGGCATTTATTGAGCAAGGACAAAATAAAGAAGTCTTGAATGAGTTTGGAGCAAACAAATACTGTGCGTTTGCATACTACACTACAAAACATAAAAAGGTGCTTATTGATTTGTTTATTTTTAATATATTTATTCTGTAACAGGTGAAAATAAAATTAATTAGATTGAAATAGATTATATTGATATTTTTTGATTATATATTTGAAGACCTGTTGCCTGACCATTATTTTCAACAATAATGGTTCATAATAAATTAGTATGAAATATGATGATTTAGTCCTAAAGGCATAATGTGTAATAGTGTATGGAAGAAAGAAAATGCACAAACTGTAAGGTATGTAAAACAGGCGAAGAATTCAATGGAATGAATGAACCGTGCATAAAATGCTTAGACAAAAGTAAAGAGTTTCAAAAAATGTATTCTCAAAAGGAAGTATTCTGTGATATTTGCCTATGCAAAGTCAAACGATGCAAGCTGCCAAAACACTTAAAAACTCATAAGCATATCAATAACAAGAAGAGAAAAGAGTAAGAAGAAACAAAGCAAAAAGAAATGAATGAATATATGAAAGATGATGAAGCTAGAATAGAAACACTACGAAAGATATGGAAGACAGTTAGACCATAACACTTTAAAAGACCTTAGCCCATATTTTCAATAGAAATATTCTATTAACATTATGTTGTTATTTTTCTATTTTTTATTTGTGGTGTGTTATTGTATTACCTGTTGTGAAATGGTTTGTGATGGTATAATGTGATAAAATGTGATGAAATATTATGAAAAAATTGTGCTGAAATGATATGTATGAAAATTATGCTGTGAAATTCTGCTATGATGTATGTGTGATGTATGTGTGATGTATGTGTGATGTATGTGTGATGTATGCATGATGCTATTATGGAATTTATGTGATGAATGTGTGCAGAGCGATAATATCAACTGGGGCATCTGGGATACTAGCTATAGGTTAGATAGGGTAGATAGGATAGATAGGGTAGATAGGGTAGATGGGATAGATAGGATAGATAGGATAGAATAGATAGGATAGATGGATGGATGGATGGATAGATACATAGATAGATAGATAGATAGATAGATGGATAGATGGATAGATGGATAGATGGATAGATAGATAGGATGGATAGGATAGATAGGATAGATAGGATAGACAGGATAGATAGGATAGATAGGATAGATAGGATAGACAGGATAGACAGGATAGACAGGATAGATAGGATAGATAGGATAGATAGGATACAATAGATAGGATAGATAGGATAGAATAGATAGGACAGATAGGATAGATAGGATAGGTAGGATAGGTAGGATAGGTAGGATAGATAGGATAGATAGGATAGATCGGATAGATCGGATAGATCGGATAGATCGGATAGATCGGATAGATCGGATAGATCAAAAGAGCGGATAGGATAGATCGGATAGATCGGATAGATCGGATAGATCGGATAGATCGGATAGATCGAAAGAGCGGATAGATCGGATAGATCGGATAGATCGGATAGATCGGATAGATCGGATAGATCCGATAGATCCGATAGATCCGATAGATCCGATAGATAGGATAGATAGGATAGATAGGATAGATAGGATAGGTAGGATAGATAGGATAGGATAGATAGGATAGAGAGGATAGAGAGGATAGAGAGGATAGAGAGGATAGAGAGGATAGAGAGGATAGAGAGGATAGAGA